TGTGGCTTAAGTGGGAGGAGCTTAAAGGGGTGTGGCTTAAATGGGAAAGGCTTTAAGGGGTGGAGGTTTAAGTGGGAGGGGCTTAAATGGGTGTGTCTTAAGTGGGAGGGGCTTAAAGGGGTGTGGCTTAAATGGGTGTGGCTTAATGAATGGGGATTAAATAGGAGGGACTTGATGGGTGGATCTTAAATGGGTGGGGCTTAACTGGGAGGAGCTTGAAGGGGTGGGGCTTAAAGGGGCGGGGCTTAGGGTGGCATTTAAAGGGGCGGAGCTTAAATGGGTGTGCTTTAAATAATGGGGATTAAATAGGCAGGGCTTGAACGGGCGGGGCTTAAATGGGTCGGGATTAAATAATGGGAATTAAATAGGAGGGACTTGATGGGTGGAGCTTAAATGGGTGGGGCTTAAATGGGAGGAGCTTGAAGGGGCGGGGCTTAAAGGGGAAAAGCTTAAATGGGTGGGGCTTAAGTGGGAGGGGCTTAAATGGGTTGGGCTTAAGTGGGCGGGGCTTAAAGTGACGGGTTTTGAAAGGGGTGGGGCTTAAGTGGGACTGGCTTTAATGTGAGGAGATTAAATGGGTGGGGCTTTAATGGGAAAGGCTTAAAGGGGCGGGGCTTAACTGGAAGGAGCTTAAATGGGTGTGGGTTAAGTGGGAGGGGCTTAAATGGGTGAGGCTTAAATGGGTGGGGCTTAATGAATGGGGATTAAATAGGAGGGGCTTGATGGGTGGAGCTTAAATGGGTGGGGCTTAAATGGGAGGAGCTTGAAGGGGTGGGGCTTAAAGGGGCGGGGTTTAGGGTGGCATTTAAAGGGGCAGGGCTTAAATGGGTGGAGTTTAAATAATGGGAATTAAATAGGAGGGACTTAAAGGGGCGGGGCTTAAATGGGTGGGGTTTAAATAATGGGAATTAAATAGGAGGGGCTTAAAGGGGCGGGGCTTAAAGGGGAAAAACATAAAGGGGTGTGGCTTAAGTGGGAGGAGCTTAAAGGGGTGTGGCTTAAATGGGAAAGGCTTTAAGGG